TGCAAAGTCAAAGACCAAATTGTCGAGGATAAATTCCATCCGGACCAAGGGGTCCTCGGGCAGGCCAGGGAGGGCAGGTGTGCGACACAGGATGAGCTGGGAGGAGTTCACAGTGCAAGGCTCCTCAAACTGGTGGAGGAAGACAGAAGGGTGAAGTGAGGGGCTGCATGGAAGGGGGCCTGCACAAAGCTGTGAGCAGCCACTGCAGCCGCTGGGGGTGGGGGAGGTGGGAGAGGGGAGAGGGGAGAAGGGAGAGGGGAGAGGGAGGGCCGGACCTATGCAGATAGGGAGGCCCAAGGTGGCTTACATGCTGACCGCCACAGGAGGATCCCGGGGGACACACTGCCTCTGGGACCACATGGCGCCTCCGCCCCAGACCTTGAGCAGGCTGCAGAGGTCCTGAAGCCACAGTCACTCGGACTCTTGGCATCTGTACCACATCCAGATTCTCACCACGGACCCAGATCTCACGCCCTCCACTGAAACACAGCACATAAGCCACACAGTTTGCTCGAACCAGGATCAAAAGCACAGCCCAGTCCCAGCTAGCTCAGCCCCAGCCCCAAACCACATGAACCTTTCTCCCAAACAGCAGCACAGGATTTGCAGCCTCCCACACAAAGCCCTGAACTTCCCCCAGAAGTAGAGTTAAAAGACCTCCCTGTCACATGCCATGCAGCCGTGCCTTTGGCCCCACACCTGAGGAAGCTCTTGGTGGGGCCAGCGGAGGTGACATTAGGGTCTGCTGTATACTTGAATTGGCCATGCTGAAGCCTCCGCTCAGTGGCTCCAAACCACACAGTCACAGGAAGGGTGGCAGGCATGTGGTAGGGGCTGGTCTCACAGTGCAGCTGCTCCAGCTGTGGCTGCAGGAGCCTGTAGAGGGGAGATGGGAGTGGAAGAAGTAGGAGCACAAGATGGGGGACAAAGGACTTGCTCACACCTTATTCAATTTCCTTCCTTGCTGGCTTCAGTCTCTACCACAGCCTGGCTTCAGAAGGGTCGGACTACTTTCTTATGGGGCAGATATGGCCCTCCTCCCACCCCTGCTCTCCCCAGCACCCTGCCCCCTCCACCTTCTCCCTGAGGCCCGTGGACTTTTATAAGATAAGAAAGGGACAGGGATTTAGATCAGTGGTTCTGCTGCCTCTCTTACAAGCGCAAGGTCCCAGTTCAATCCCCGGTACCAAAAGAAGAGGAAGCAGCCCTCACAAGCGACAAGGCTGGTCTCCCACCACCACTCGAATGTCCTCCAGGCGCCCCGTCAGGAGCTTGGAACCACGCAGGGTAAGGCAGGTACCCCCAGCTCTAGGGCCTTGAACTGGGAAAATGGAATGCACCTTGGGGTCCTGTGGGAAGGGGGACAAAGAGAGACCAATAAATGTCAGGCCAGAAGCAGAAAGGCTGGGGGAGCCCAAGACAGATAAGACAGCCCTGGGTCGGACAGCCCTGTGAAGGTGACCCACTGGCAGCTGAGGGCAGCTCAGAGTGTGGGACTCAGGCACCTGGTAGACAAAGTTGAGCTCGGAGACGCCGCGTCCTCTTCCCAGCACTTCCACTACCACGGCACCAGTCACCTCCTCCCCACTGGCCCCAGTGATGCACACCAGACTGTGGGCACAAGGCAGGCAAGGGGCTGCAAGACGGCATGGAGAGGCCTCCAAGTGACCCAGCAGCCCCTCTCCTCCCCCATCAGATGATCCCTCCTCCCCACCCTCCGGGGCAGGTCAGGATGCTCTCTTGCTTTGGAAGGATCTCCTTCGGCGCATGGTAGGACCTGGCACCTGAAAACACGTCTGGTTCCCCAGAGGCCTCCAGCAGGGAGGAATTATCCCGCTGTTGTGGCATATATTCAAAAGGAGCCCTGTACAGGCTGACTGTGGGGTGGCCAAGCTAATGAGTGGGCCTGGCACCAAGTCCTCCACCACCACCACGGGCAGGACACCCACTTGCAAAGGGATAGAAACATGATTTCTTCTTGGATAAAAGTACCTAAAAGTCTCCAGTCAGATCTGGAGATAGATGTGAGCAATCTAAGAAAATGCTGGTTCTTAGCTAGAAAACAGGAGCCTGGGCAAATTAGTTCTAATGTTCAGCCTGTACTAGCTGGAGTCTGTGACACTGTGAAAGTCCCTGCAAACACTGGAAACACAGAACAAGTGATACGTGAACTACCCAGGGAAGACTCCAGCCAGGCTATATTTTAATTGCTTTACAAATTGTTTTATAAGTTTTATGGTTCTGGAATCATTAATAGTCACAGTGTCCTTAGGCTCTCAATCAGAACACGTTCTTAGGAAAGCTCCGTGTTCTTGCAAAGTGTTTGTTTGTTTAAAATACGGATTGTGATGCCAGGCACAGTGGTACACACCTAATAATCACAGCACTTAGGGAAGATCACAAGCTTAAGTCCTGCCTGGGCCATTTAGTGAGACCTTGTCTCAAAGTAAAGAAAAACAAAGGGTTAGGGATGTAATTCAGTGGCAGAGTGTCCCTGGATCCAATCCCCAGGACCAGAAAAAAAATTTTAATAAAATAAAATAGACTGTACAGCCTCCTGAATTGACATCCTCTGGAGGATGAAGTTACAGATCTGTTGTTGGCTTTCCAGTTCATCTGGCATTAAACCAGGTTTGGGCCCTGCCGCTTGGAGCCACCTCCTGAGTTCTGTGCATGCACCTTTGGGACCCTGCAACTACTAACCAGGCTACCACAACCCAGAATACCTCAGTAAACTGTGAGCCCTGGGACGGGAGCAGAGCTTCCGGGAGACTAGGCTCCCCTGGACAGAGGGGCCTGGCTCTCTGCAGGAGTACCACAGCACACGGCCTGACAGCCCCGCCAGGACATGCTTGGGAAAAGGGTCAGCTTGTGAGAAGGCCAGCCACTGAGTTCACTGCTACCACAACAATATCCACATTCACTCAAGAAAACCAGACAAGAACACCTAAGCGGAGCCAGGAGATGGCCCTGGGCAGCAACCTTGCCCTGGTCTGAAATGATCCCCAAGCAGCCCAGGCCAGAGACCTACAGGTGGGTGTTCCAGGGCCTCAATGGCACCCCCCACACTGAGGCACTAGGACCAGAAACAAGGAAAACAGGAAAGGGAAGGCAGATGAGCAGGGAATGGGAGGCCCCAAAAGGGAAAGCCATCCACGGAGCCCACCCACTTGGATTCAGCAGCTCACCTGCTGGAGACTTCATAATCCTGGGCATCCACAGCACAGGGCACTCCGGCCACCCTGACCATGTCCAGTACATCCTGAACATGCTGGCCCAGGTTGGAGCCCCTGATGGTAACTCGAGTGCCTCCATCTACAGGCCCAGTCAGTGGCTCCACCTGTTCCAGGAATAGGACTACTCACCTCTACCCACCTGTTGACCTCCTGCAGCTTAAAAAGGCAGCCCTAGCCTCCCCACTTTTGGTCCCCAGTATCCATGTCACAGCCACCCTCCCTCCAAAGACAGCAGTGAGAAAGGAACAAGCCAGCATTTTCACACACCGAGGAGATGAGGGGCGCAGGGCACTGGGTGGCTACTGCGTCAGACTTGCCACAGGCCTCCTTGGCCACACAACGTGGATGCTCTTCCTCACACCACACACAGCCATACTGAGGCATGGCGGAATGGCAGCGGCTGCAGTCCCCGTGTCCCACAGAACAGTCGTACAGCACCACTGAAGACAGCAGGGACACATGTGAGAGGCAGCCTGCAGCTTGCACGGCTGCACACCATGTGACCCCTCCGGGAATCTCACCATGCAGCCCAGCGGCACTGTCCACACGCAGGCGGCTGGCCCAACGCAGAAACAGCTCCACCTGGAGCTCAGGCTGTGGGGCCTCATAGCTGAGCTAGAGAAGTGGGAGTAGGGTCAGTCTGGGGCTGGGGGAGGCATCAGGCCTGGCAGAGATAGCTCAAGAAAGGACCAAAATGACTAGTTATGAGCACAGCACTGGAGGTCAGAGTTGGGGTGCAGGGATTCCATGGGGTAAGGGTGGGAGGTTAGAGACATAATTAGAATGGAGACTGGGATTCCAATTTAAGATATCAGACTGGGCTGCACGGTCAGAGTCTGCTCTCCAGGGTCAGAGTGGAGATGTGGACAATGTGGACAACTACAGTTAGCAGCCAGCCTGTGGCCCGAGTTCCCTTGTCCACCCAGGCTCCTGAGGTCTGTACCTGGTGCTGCTGGCACGTGACATGGCACCAGGTATTCGGAGGCAACTCACACTCAACCTGGGCCTTCACCACCACCTCACGGCCCTCCAGGTGCATCACACACTCACTGTCTCCTGGGCTGTCCTGGGGCCAGAAAACACCACCATTGGGGCAACTTCTGGAGTTGGGCCCAGGAGCTTCCCAGTTCTCCAGCAGTCCCTAGGCTGAGGGTGAGATGTGGGGCCATGTCCTCTGCCTGCTCCCCAGGGGTCACAGAGTCTGTCATCCTCCAAGGGGGCTGCAAGGACAGTTGTGTGCAGGGTACACGTACCTGCAGGAGGCGCAGATTCTGGCCACGCAAGCGGACCTCTCGTTCCACATTGACAGGCATGAGTGTAGAGCCCTGGACGCTCTCCACACAGGGGCAGGAGCTGGCCCTCCAACTCGCCTCTCCCTGCGGGCACCAAGAACAAGGCCGTCTGTGCAGCCCACCCTGCTGGCCTCAGCTTCTGCCTTGCTGGGCTCCAAGGACAAGGCCCTGCCCCATGCCCCTCCCCATGGCGAATCCCGAGGTGAGAAGGGCTTATGTCTCCCCCAGTCCCCTCCCAAGTCTTCTTTCCTGGGCTGGACCTCACCAGCTCCCAGAGCCCGGGGGTGTCGTACTGGTAGTCCAGGCTGGACAGGAGGATGAGGGGGGCAGGAGGGCCCTCGTGCTCTGCTGAGTCTCCATCACCTGAGAGGAGGGTGGAAGTGGAGAAGGCGGGCGCGTCACCCCCTGTCCACTCGTCTGCCTCGGGCAGCTCGCCGCCTTCTCTCATGAGCCAGTCCACAGCAGGCTTCGTGGAGCCAGCGGCCCCTGGGAAAGTAGTGGCAGGAGCAGTGCCAGGGGGCTGGTCCAGGGCCACCGTAGAGGGAAGGGCTTCAGGGTCAGGCTCTGCAGGGGGCATTGCTGCTGCTTCTGAGGGTGCCAGGCGGGAGGTCGAGAGGTCCTCAGGTATGGCCGCAGGTCCCAAGTCAGTGGGGGCAGGGACAGAGTTTCCAGGTCTGGTGGGGAGGCTGGGCAGGAGGGGCTTCTCGTGGAGAGGTAACTCTGTGGAGGTGGGGGAAGGTATAGGGCCAGATCCTGCCCATGGCATCCAGGGACTGAGCAGGGAAGGCCTGACCCCAGGTGACACATGTGAGGTTGGGGTTATGGAAGGAGCCCCAGGCTCCCCAGGAACGGTGTCAGAGGTAGGTGTGACCATGGTTTGGGGGACTGTGGGTGGGAGGGGGCTAGGTATGTCTCTTGTAGGAGGGGCTAGGGAGAAAAGCGGGCTCTAAAGGGGGAGACAGAAGAAGACAGGAAGGGCCACTCAGCAGGCAAACGCAGGAGCAGACAAAGGGTATGTTAAGAAGGAAGGAGACCAAGGAAAAGAGAAACAAAAACAACCCATTAATTCTCTAAAGGAGAAACACAGAGCACTGGCTCCAGGGGTGTCTGTGCTGAGGTGAGGCAAAGGCCACACCTCCTGCCTGTCAGCTATAAACGTCCTCTCCCAAAACAGGCAGGACAGATCTGCAGCTGCTCTTCCATGAGTCCACCCTACCCATGGCTCAGGCACTCAAACAGAGCCTCATGCAGGCAGACAGGCAGGCAGGCACACAGAGCCCCGGGCCATCAGACATCCTCACACTGGGGACCCAAGCCCCCATGTGCCCACCCCAGTGCCCACTCACCTGCTGGCTCACCACCATCGGCCCAGCATCGCACGTGGCCTTGTGTGTGCACAGGTGCTGCCAGACACACCAGTTACAGCCCCAGCGGCTGCTCACGCAGGCCTGGCACCTGTACAGAGCACAGCCATGGGGTGGGTGTCGCCACAGGGAACCCCAGAGCAGGGAACTGGGGAGGAACTCACGGTGCGGACGGGTGGAGCTCAGTGACTGCCACACAGTCATAGACGGAGAGGGAAGCTGTGACGACCACCACGGTGCCGAACCTGAGCTCCACACTCATGGACACGTGGTCTGCAAAATGTGAGAGAAGACGAAGACTATGGAGTGGCCAGGTACCAGAGATGCCACAAAGACCATGTAGAGCAGGGCTAGCACCCCGAACACTGGGAAGAACACAGGTTTGGGGAACACCGCCCACAGGGCACAAAATGGACACATTGCAGTGTTGGGGACAAGTGCTGATACTCCAAGAGTGCTCCAGGGGCCAGCACGCCTGTAATCCCAGCACTCGGGAGGCTGAGGCAAGAGGGTCGCTGCAAGTTTCAGGCCAGCCTGGGCTACACGGTGAGACCCTATCTCAAAAAAAAAAAAAAAAAAAAAAAAAAAAAAAAAAAAAAAAAACAATGAAAAAAAGCCACCAAATTAGGGCCCTCTGCCTAGATTTACATCTCACCCCAACCACAGCCCTTAGAGCCAGGTGGGAGCAGGTTGTGGCTCTCAGGTACAGGGCTGGCCCATTCTTTCACCCACCAGCTCCTCTCTGTAGCACCGGGACCTCACTAGGGTCTGGAGAAGGGCACATCACACCAGAACCGGTCAGCAAGGCAGGACTCTGATGTTCTCCAAAGTGGCAAGAATATGACTCCCCAGGCCACAGGGGTGGCAGGTCTGGCACCAACAGGAAAACCTATCAAAAGAGCCCAGGACACCAGGTCACAGACCTGGGCTCAAGTTTATGGGGAAACCAGCGTGGACAGCACCAGCAGGCCCCAGCCCACGAGCCTTCACAAACACTCTTGGCCTGCATTAATAACAAATAGAGAAACCGAGGCCCAAAGAAGAGCGACTATGCAAGGCCATGTAGAACTTCGCACACAAGACACAGAAATCCAAGTTTTCAACTTATCACCAGAAGCCCCCTCACTGGGGCCCGCCCACTCTAGTCATTCACCTCCTGCTTCTCCTCTCGGCTGATGTTGGCAGGGCTCATGGCTGCCACTCGCAGACAGCCTGGCTCAGGCTGGAAGCTCCACAGCCACTGCTCTGGGCGCTGGCCCCTGGAGCACTCAGAACGGCGACTGCATCTGATTGAGAATGACCAGCATCTATCTGAGACCCGCACAGGGCCATCAGGAACTCACAAGGCAGGATGACTACAATCCTAAGGCCCTGCACCAGGCCTGCAAGTGGGGGTTGATACTAGGCTCCTATTCTGCTCTGTCAAGGCAATGATGCCAGGACAGAAGATGGCAGGGGGACGGGGGCATCCAGAGGGCAGGGATTGTGGGTCAAGGGCCTAAAGTCAGGAATCCTGGATGACACGATTACACTGGAGCACTAAGGGCATGAGGCTGGGTAGGTGGAGCCAGGCAGGAGTCAGCAGGGCACCAACCTGCCAAGGAGAACGCACCACCCACAATATGGGTCCCGCTGAGCAAGGCAAGATGCACAGTCCAGATGCTGGGCACAGGAGGCCACAGGAACCTTCACAAGCTATGAAGCAGACAGGACCTGGGGCCAGCAATCCAAATACCAGGAACGCACCCATATCAGGGTCCCTGGCCACCCAGAGGCCCCTCCCACCAGTCATGTCCTGGCTTAGGCCAGGCACTCACTGTGGACTGAGTCATGACATACAGGTGCTCGAAGGTCCCATCAAAAGTGAGGTCTCTGCTCACCGCAGACCCCCACTGGATGCTCTGCGTGGAATATGAGCGGCCATCATTCCCTGAGCCCAGGTACACCTACGATCAGAGACCACAAGGTCTGGCACCAAGTCCATCACAGACCCAAGGCCGCCTCTACGGTAACAGAAGCAATTTAAAGACAAGAACTTTCTTCTGGGAAGTCACAGGTCATTGCAGCCAGCCTAGGTTGGGGGAGTGCACAGGTAAACACTACCTAGCCCTGGGAAGAGAGGCACAAGTCATCTCTCCCAGCCCAGGGCTGGGGGCCATGTCACATATCACAAATCCCAGGCCCAAGGATCACAGGAGATGCACTTCCTAGGCTGGGTCCCCAGCAGCCCATCTCCTCCAAATCCTGGGACAAGGCTTGATACTTCCTGTAGACTTACCCTGTGCAGCTGTCCTTGACTGTCTCCCAAGAAAGCAATGGTGTGCCCATCCTCCATGGTGACTGCCACAGCTGTTAGCTGAACCCCTGGCCACTCCAAAACTGGTGTGGCTTCCAATGGGACACGGCTAGCCATGGGGCTGGGCGTGTGGTCCGAGCCACAGGGAAAAGCATCCGGGGTATCCTGCAGGCAGCAAGTAGCAGCATCAGGAAGGCCCTGTGTGGAGAACCTCCCTGCTCCGAGCACCCTGGACCTCTCCCAGCCCTGTTTCTCTGCCAGCCCTCCCTGGCAACTCCGCCCCGGGCAGCACCTCACACAGCTGTGTCCTCAGCCCTCCCTTGGTGCACTTGTCCCCAGCTGCCTTTTGATCCCCGCCCCAGTGTGTGGTCCCACCTTTTCTTAGCCCTAGCCTGGAAGCACACCCCTGAGGTGCTGTTCTCTGCCTTCTCCTGGGCCACTTCCCAAGCCTCTCAGAGTTGGTCTGTTCTCCTCCCAGCACACTAGTCTGGGCCCTCTACACTTCTCACTGACCCACTTTCCCTATGAGTAGTGTCTTCCCCCAGTATTGGTCCTGAAGGTACAACCACACAAGCCCCAACCTCACCTTCCTCTCCTGCTCCAGAATCTAAATAGCACCATTCCAACATCTGCTCCTTGGCTAGTTCCTAGCTCACTTCTGCAAAACCACCTCTTCAGCACCCTGCATGCCCTTTGTGGGAAGGTACCCGTCTATGACCCAAGCCCAAAGAAGCCCTAATACCTGTGGACTTGAAAGTCCCTCACCCTACCACCAGCTTCCAGTCAGGCCCCTTGGGCAGCTAGCTACCTGGCCCCCACTACTTGGCCAGCAGTCTCACACAAGGTGAAGGCTGGGGCCGCACCAGAACTCACCACCGGCAGCTGGTCACAGGAGGAACTAACATGATATGCAATGTAGGCCACCTCAGTCTTGTCCTCAGCGAGACCCTTCCGGGTATAACAGGCATCTCGTGTGTGATTAGCAAGTCGGTCCACCTCATCCAGGGGGAAGGCACAGAGTGCAGAGGCTCTGGATGCCCCAGTAGCTGCAGAAGGTGGCTGGCCCACAGTAGGGGGTGCCGCTGAGGAGAAGGCTGCAAAGAGCACCTCCCCACCAGCCACCTCCCCAGATGTGGCCACTGCTGCAGCCTGGATCAGTCCGTAGCGGCCTCCCTGGCAGGCCAGAGGCAATTCCACATAGGAGTAGTAGTGCTGATCCCAAAGGCACACACGAGACACATAGGCGCGGAAGGCTCTAGATGGAGTCTTGAGGTCCCGCCGCAGGAAGAGGAAGTAGGCACTAGCCCCACGCACAAAGGCACTCACGAAGTGGTGACTGTACTCAGAGAGGTGGCCCACTGCCAGCTTAGCCGTCTCCTCATAGGAGAAGGCAGCTTGGGGGTCTGGAGGCCTCAGGGCCCGGGTTGTGATGGGTGGAATGCCACCCCCCACACCCCTGCTGGTGTATCCCCGCCCCACAAACAGGAGGGGCTCCCCGGCCAAGCCCTGGGCCACCAGCCCCACAGTACTGACTGCTGGGTCATTGGCAGCCACATACTGGGTGTCCCCAGGCCGCTCTGGCTGCAGCAGCAGTTGCCCAAGCTGCCCCAGGCGCCGCTGCTCACAGACGCCCTGGTGCACACTCCCGCACACCACCAGGGCCCCTGGGCTCACAAGGAGCAGCTGGTTGGGATTGTTGGTGAGCTGGGCCTGGGGGCACTCATCAGGCATCACGGGAGGTAAGCAATCTCTGCTGTCTAGAACAGGGCCTGTGGACACCATGCCTTCCAGGTGCAGTTCAGGGCTCAGCTGGAACAGGAAATTGGTGGCCCCCAGATAGAGGGTGCCTGAGGTGGGGTCCCTCGCCAGGTGTTGTAGATGTGTGCCATTGGGAGTGAAAGCAGCTGGTGGAGGAGGCTGGAGGGCAAGGACCAACCCAGCCCAGAGGACCTGGAGAAGAGCTGAGCCAAGGGCTGGCATGGTCACCTGGCAAGGAGAGAGGTAAAATGGAGCTCATATGGCCCCCAGAGCATTCTGAGGTCACTGGTAAAGGACCAGTCTGTGCCACTGTCAAGATGCCCCTCCTAACCTTGGGGTCAACAGGAGCTCCAGACCCAGATGGGCTCCTACTCCATCAGGGAAGAAAGAGCACTGTCCCTGCAAACTTCAACACCACCCCTTCCTGTAGGCCTATGTTCTCCAGAGACCTGCACCCTCCTCCCCCACTACCTAGCACCACAACACAGATCAGGAGCAGGGCCTGGAAGGGACAGAAATGCAAGGAAGGGGAAGGAAGGGAGAGGCCCCTCTGCCTGGATGGTGGTTTCCTGGCCAGAAGGAGGAGGGAAGATGAGGTCTCAGGAGCCACCAGGTGTCAGAAGATGTCTGAGGCAAGAACTGGGCAAGGGCCCTTTTAGGTCAGGAATCCAGAAGGATGACAACCACAGAAACACCAGGCCAGAGAAAAGCAGGAGATCTAGGCTGGGAAGAGTGGGGGCTGACAGGTTGCACCCTACCTTGGGGAGCCCTGAGCAGAAGGGAGGCACACTGCTCTCATTTGCCCAGGGGTAAGGTTAGACTCACCTGGCACGGCCAGCTAGATCAGGGGACAACAGCATGACCAGAGCAGGAGTCACCTAGCCAAGGGGAAAGCAGAGCGTGAAACTGGGGGCTGAACAAGAGGCATGACTCTCTACCACGGAACCAGCACAAAAGTACCCCTCCCCATTGCCTGGCCTGTCTGTACAGCCAGGCCTGGCCTGGCCCTCAGCCACCAAACACATTCCACAGAGGACGCCTCCTCAGAGCCCAAACGGGGAGGGGGAGGACAGCAGACAGAGCCAGGCACCCATGGGGCCTGGGAAAGGTCAGCTAGGAAGGAGCCTTATGGCCAGTAGGGGCCAGTCAGGCCCTCAGCACAGCCCTATCCCTCTAAAAGCTCTTTTTCTCAGTACCTGTGTTCTTATCATCTGCTCAAACTCTACCCTACCAAGGCACCCACATGCATTCCCTCCACAGAGACCAGGCGGTCCATCCTGGCTCAAACAAGCACCAGCACACTGGCAGATACACACACATACACCCCAAGATGCATGCATATACCCAGTATGCATGCATACACCGCACACAAAACTTTGCATATACACATATACACACATAGATACATACAGATATGTTCTGTACATACAGCACACACATGCACACACACACAGAAACACAAACATACCACACAGGCACCCATACTCCACATAAAGACATATCCATTCGGAAACAATCCCTTCATGCACAAACACCACATATCACACACACATAATATGCATGCAAATGTCATACCCACCGGAGACATACACATACAATCGTCCACATTCTGACATTTAGACACCAAATAGATGCATGCACACTTCCTAGTTCAAACACTAAGTCCTAGAGAGCTGTGGAAGGCAGTCCATCTTTTGAGTATTTCTCCTGAATATCAGAGTAGAGACAGGGATCAGATGTAGGGTAAGTGGAGGGTGTCCTGAGGAAATCATTATGCGGGGCTGTCCCCCAACCTCAAGTCCATTCCAAGGACCTGCCCAGACTTTGGGTGCTGCCCAGCTGAGGCTCTTGAGTTCCAGAACTAAGAAACCATGGCAAACCACATTCCCCAGGGCCCAATTGTCCCCCATCAGGAGCAGAAAAGTTGGTAAGGTGCTAGGACAAACCATGCATCCCAGACTGAAAAACACTTTCCTACTTGCGTGTGCCCAGGCCATGTTGCCCAGTCCCTCTCATCATCTAGCTGCTAGACTCTCTGCAGAATATCTTGTTTGCTTTCCTCTTCCCAGGTGCACTCATCCCAGCAGAGTGCTCCTGAGGCTGCCCAAGTGAGCAGGGATGAGCACAAGGCTCAAAGAAGGGTACAGCAGCCTGGCGGAGCAGGGACACTGTGAAGCAGGGGGCCATGGCCACAGCCTGGCTGGGCACCGCTCCCAAAATAGCTTGGGGGTTTCCATTTTTAGTGTGCAGAGAACAGGGCAGCTCTATGGGAGCGGGAACAAGGCTGCCTCTGTTTGTCACCCAAGGGGGTGGGAGGAAGGAGGTGTCGGGGAAAGTCTTGAACCCAGCCAGAAGCCCAGGACTGTGGCAAAGCCAGGCTGCGCAGGAGCCCTCCACCTTGTTTCCAAAGGCTAGAGAGAGTTTCTTCCTCTGGGAACACAGAGTCCACCTGAGGATAGGCAGAGGCCACCTCCTTCACTGGGCTACTGCCCACTTTTCCTGCCCCCTCATTCCAAGGATGTGCCTTGGGCATAGGGTCCCATAGTTAGACCAACATTCAGTGTTTAATTTGCTTGCAAATATTTGCTCAGAGCCTACTGCATGCCAAGGTTCTCCAGCCCTCAAGGGGCAGCAACAAAGCCACTCCCTGAATGTGAAATCACAGCTGGGTCAAGGAACCCACGGGAAGAAATGTTGGAACCAGAAGAGCTCCTGGCCAGGACACATGGGAAGTCAGAGGCTGATCCACTCTGGAAAATTATGCCAGGCTTCTTCAATTGCAGTCCTTCTGTGAAGCAGGACCCAGCACTCCTTCCTTTTTCCCTATATACCATGGGCAGGAGGAGTCCATAGGACAGTAACGTTTTCTCCTCTGTGCTGGACACATGTACTTCATTTAACCTCTGCCATCTCACAGAGCAGCCCCTAGTCATTCAACACACACAAAAAAAACCTCTCTGAATTTTCTTTGAGTAGAAATGATGTGCCTCCCTCCTCCTGAGGCTTTGGGGTCTACCAGGCCTGAGGAATAAAGGTCAAGCCCTCTGGTCCACATCCTCCCACATGCATGCTTTTCGTTCCTGCCTGAAGGAAGGCTGCTCCACTCCTCCCTGCCATCACAAGCAAAGGCTGTTCCCATTGCCTGGAATGCCCACTCCCTCTCTATCCTACTCCTCTCTATTCCCACACCCAGCCATCATCTCCCTGGGAGTCTTCCCAACCCTCCCTTGCTCTAGAGCAGGTCACCTGTGTGGTGGATGGAATGGACACTCCTAGCCAGACTGGAACATACTGCCCTGCCAGTAGAGTGTGTGCTGGTATTTGAGACACCACCCAAGACCATTTCTCCCCCTTTTCCATCCTCCCAGCCTGGACTCAAAGCTCTTTACAGGCAGGGAGTATGGCTCTTGATTCAGAGGCCCAGCAGCTGCCATAGACATCAGCATGGACCAGGTACTCCCCACATGGTGAACAGGCCCCCATTTCACTTCCAAGGAAACCTGGCTGGTGGAGGAGATAGGGGCCTTACACAAACCTGGCCACTTGGCCTCTCAAAGAAAAAGGCATTACCTGCACTTTTATTAACAACCAGGCTAGAGCAGACAGAAAGAGCTGATTGGGAGACAAGCCTCACATCCCCAACTTGCACAGCCAGGACCTCCTGCCTTCTCCCCACCTCTCAGGCCCTGCCCAGGCTCACAGCCAAAGCCCAACTCTAACTTTACCCTTGCCCAGGCCTGCCGGGTGGGCCTGTACTGGGCCAATCTGTCTCTGAGCCTCTTCAGCATTGCCCAGAACTGCTCGATTTCTGTCTACAGAAAGCAAGCACCAACAGACCCTCCTGAAGCTGTCCTTGCCAACCGAAGAGTCTCACAAACTCGCCTTTCCACACCTGCACCTGGTCTGGAAGCCAGTGGGAAACTGGCCTCCCTTCCACCCTCCTGCCCCACTCCCAAGGCTCGCGGCTGGGGCGGGTTACTCATTGACAGTGCCGGGTGCACAGTGCCCACCCTGCTGTCTGCGCGCTGAGTGGGGTGAAGGGAGCCCCAGTTTCCCAGGCATCCGCGACGACCCGAGGTGCTCAGCAGTCGCCAGCCAAATGGTCTGTGTGTGGAGAAGGGACCCCTCCGGGGGCCAGGAGGCTCGTGGTGTGGTCTACTCTGCCTTTATAGGTCCCGCCGAGTGCAGCCTGCAAGAGCTGTGGCTCTGGAGAGGCAGACTCGATCTCGCCACGCGGACCTTCCCAGGCGCCCGGCCTGCCGGCGCCGGG